TCACCTCTTAAAGGTCCCACCTCTGTTGCATTGGGGATTAAGTTTCCAACACATGAATTTTGGGGGATATTTTCAAATCATAGCACTGAGCAGAGATTGGAGTGATGCACTTTGTCACTGGAGGAAGAGGCAACACTCCATGGAATACTGGCAGCCACTAGAAGCTGAAAAAGGCAAGAAAATGGGTTTTCCCTTCAAAATCTGAAAAACCCAGTCCTTTACAACTTGACTTTAGCCAAGTGAAACCGATTTCAGGCTTCTGACCTATAAAACTATAAGACTAAGTTTGTGTTGTTTTAAGCCACCAGTTTGTGGTACTAATAACTTGGTATAACAGCCAGAGGAGACTAATACACCTAGCAATGGGAGACAGCTGCTGATTTGGGGCCACCCAATATCTACTTCCTCTCCTAACCTCCCTTTAATATTCTTTTGGAGGAATTCTTTTCCCTATCCTGTGAAGTCATGAGGGGTGTGAAGGATGATAAAGCTAAGTGTCTGCACCCTCACTATGGAAGGTGAAGGGGTCCCTAAAAGCTCCTGCTGTAGTGCTCCTCCCACTGGTCACCTAGCTGGAGGTGGGTATAGGACTTTGAAATATGAGCAAATGGAGCTGGGGTGGCACATTAATGGTGGGAACAATATTGTGCTAACTTGAGCTTTGCGCTTCCTAACTTTGGCCTTGGGTAAGGATCTTATGTTATTTAGCCTTTGTTTCATAATCTATAAAATGGGTGCAGTAAGAGTACCAACCTCCCATTCTGCTTGTGAGGATTCAATGGAGGAGAGTCCATAAAGTGTCTGGCACGTGGTAAGGGATTCATCAATGTTAGCTTCCATCATAAATGGCGGGAGAGCCACATAAGTAGCCAGAGGGAGTCATAGAAAGTTCTTGAACCCGGGAAATAACATCTTTCAGCTTTTTTGGGGATATGCAAGATGGGTAATTAGGTTACTTTTGACCAAGCAGATTCGGGAAATGCCAGGCCTTGGGTGGGTGATGGGACCAGAGGTAGAGGGGCATAACTGCCACTACCTTTCGTGGAGCAGCCAACTTGCTCCGTGGTGGACTCACTGCATGCCTACATGATGGCACAGTGGATACTTGTTTGTATCTGTACCCAGTTTCAGGGGGAAGAAGCCCTTCTCTCACTTCCCCATTTTCTCCATGTCCTTCTGGGGGATGGCCCCAATCCCTTCCTAGAGAGGCTCCATATAGCCAGGTGTGGCTAATCTGGCTGTGGTGATTGGCTCATGTGGCTCTAATGGGTCCAGTGAAAGTCAACCCTGGGAATTTGGCTGGAACTATTGGGAAACAGCCCCTGCTTTCTTGGGGGCAGATATGAGTTAGGAATGACTTCTTAGGCCACTGTATCTATGTGGAAAGAACTCCATGAGAGTGAGGTTATCACAGAAGACGCAAGAGGCGAACGATTACAGAGACTGAGGTGGTTTGAGCGCCTGGGTGCAGCTATGTCTAAAGTGAGGCACCAACTCAGGCCTTTTGAATTATGTGATCAGGGATCAGGTATGTTCCCTTTTTTGTTTTACTTGAGAGGTTTTTTATTTGTGGTCACTTGTGTATGAAAAAGACCAGGCTAATATATGGAACCACTTACAAACTCCGAGAGACTTTTGAAGATTCTTTTTTCTAGAAGGGAAAACATTCTCTGCTGTTTTTCTGCCAACTTTAGGGTTTTCAGAGAGGTTTGGGGGAAAGAACGGAAAGTGAAAATGTGGGAAGAGTCCCTGCAGCCCCAGGGTTGGATGAACTCCTCCCAGCTAATTATACCACAGGGTTTGGGAGCAGAGCCCCTTTCATTAAACTCTTAGGAGTCTTGGATGGATAGGGCAGGAATTACACCAGTGAACATCAGAGAGCTTGGTGCATGCCAGGCATTGTGCTTTGGGATTTATAGTCACTGGCTGAATAATGACATTTTGGTCAACAATAGACCCCATATAAGTCGGTGGACCCATGAGATTACATTAAATTCCTATCTTCCAAGGATGTACCATCATAACGTTGGTAGGGTAATGAATTACTCATGTGTTTGTGGTGATGCTGGTGTAAAAAGCCTACTGCGCTGCTGGTGCTATAAAAGTATAGCACATACAATTATGTACAGTACATAATACTTGATAATAAATGACTGTTACTGGGTATGTATTTACTACATTATACTTTTTTTTTTTTTTTTTTTT